TCTAGGTGCCTGGCCCAATGGCAATCTTACTGACTGGGCTCCCAAAAGCTTGCTTGCTTATTTATTTATTTATTTATTATATTTGCATCTCACTTTTCTTCCTTGGAGCTCAAGGCGTCACACACAGTTATTCCCCCCCCCCCCTCCATTTTATTTGAGGCAGGTTATTTTGCCCTCACAACAGCCCTGCGAGGTAGGTCCAGCTGAGAGACAGTGAACTTCATGGCTGAGTGGGGACCTGAATCCTGGCCTCCCAGGACCTAGCCTGACAATCTAACCACTACCCCATGCTGCCTTCCCAGAGGAGCTTTCAAGAGGTCCTACATGCACCCAGTAGTTTTTTGGACTCTCTTTCTGTGAAGCGCAATGTCATCCTCCCTGTGCCACATGACAAATACCTAGCAGTGTGGTGACTTGTGACCATTGGGACTGGGGGTGGTGGGGTGGAATTGAGGGAGTCCAACAGTAGGTGGCGCTAGAGATGATGAAAATAATAATAATAATAATAATAATAATAATAATTATTATTATTATTATTATTATTTATACCCCGCTTTCCCTGGCCAGAGCCAGGCTCAGGGCGGCTAACACCAGTAAAATTACAGTAAAAACATAATAGGAAAAAACAAACCAATTTAAAATACAGGTTAAAATGCAATTTAAAATGCAGCCTCGTTTTAAAAGTAGCCCATAGATCAAAACCATAAGGGGAGGGAAACATAAGGGTCAGACTGAGTCCAAACAATCCCTTTGGCACCGGACGGCCCAAAGATGCTTTTCCTGGCAAACTTGAAATGAAACGTGCGCCTTAGGTGGATCTTATGCCAGCCTGGGCTCCTTGGGGAGGAAGGGTGGGGCGGAAATTAAGTAAGGCCACCCACACATTATGCATTTTAAGCACGGATGGGGAACCTTTGGCCCTCCAGGTGTTGCTGAACTGCGGCCTCGGACCAGTAGACCTGAAGGAGCGTCTCCACCCCCATCGTTCAGCCCGGACACTGAGGTCCAGCGCTGAGGGCCTTCTGGCGGTTCCCTCACTGCAAGAAGCTAAGCTACAGGGAAGCAGGCAGAGGGCCTTCTCGGTGGTGGCTCGCACCCTGTGGAACGCCCACCCATCAGATGTCAAGGAAATAAACAACTCTCTGACTTTTAGAAGACATCTGAAGGCAGCCCTGTTTAGGGAAGCTTTTAATGTTTGATGTTTGATCGTGTTTTTAATATTCTGTTGGGAGCCGCCCAGAGCAACTGGGGAAACCCAGTCAGATGGGCAGGGTATAAATAATAAATTATTATTCGTATCCTTGCAACAACCTTGTGAAGTAGAACAGGCCACCCATGAAACTCTGTGGCTGAGTGGAGATTTGAACCAAAATGTCCAACACGATAAGCCAGAGGCTAGCAACCCGTATCCTTCCTGCTGTCGTTAGAAGTCCTTTCAGCTTCAGACAGCTTGACATATGGCTAGAGACGATAGTGGAACGCCCTTCCATCAGATGTCAAGGAAATAAACAACTATCTGGCTTTCAGGAGACATCTGAAGGCAGCCCTGTTTAGGGAAGTTTTTAATGTTTGAAGTTTTATCGCTATGATGAGGATGATGTTGGGAGCCGCTTAGAGTGGCTGGGGAAATCCAGCCAGATGGGGAGGGTATAAATAATAAGTTGTTGTTGTTGTCTCCTATCATCCCTGGCCCTTGGCCATGCTTTCTGGGGGCTGATGGGAGTGTGCATGGAGGACCTGGGCTGCCCAGATGGCAAGACCCCCCTCTCCGCCTCCCCGAGGTGATCTGAAGGAAAGCAGAGCAAGATGATTGGCTGCAGGAGTTGCTGGAATTAGGCATACAAGGCGCCAGCCAACCGCCTTAGAGAGAAATCCACTCTGGATTTGTATAGGGTTTACTCCTTGGCCTTTTCTTCTCCTGAAGTTGTCCCGCAAGGCTGTAAGTGGGAATGAGAGAGAGTTCAGAATCGGGGGCCCTTCCCCTCGTTATTTTAGCTCTGGAGAGCTGTGCTGACTCACACAACTTTTGAGGTTTTTCCAGCTGCTTGCAGCCAGCACACATACCTCCTTTTGAGTAAGTCAGGTTTCAGAAAGTAGACCTTGCCCACAGTAAGCAAATAAAAGGTGCATTCCTCAGGTTAGGTTCTCACGCCCTACGGAAAAACAGAGTGACTGGACGGAGCCTCCACTTTCTCCTACAAGGCCACAAGTTCCAGCTTCCATCTAGACAGGATGAAGTCTCAAATTCCAGGCTGAGCAGTCCCCCACAAAGGTCACAGAGCGCTTGCCTCCCCCAAACTTTAGGGAGGTAAGGTAAAGGTAAAGGGACCCCTGATCATTAGGTCCAGTCATGGCTGACTCTGGGGTTGCAGCGCTCATCTCGCTTTACTGGCTGAGGGAGCCAGCATACAGCTTCCGGGTCCTGTGGCCAGCATGACTAAGCCGCTTCTGGCGAACCAGAGCAGCGCATGGAAACACCGTTTACCTTCCCGCCGGAGCGGTACCTATTTATCTACTTGCACTTTGACGTGCTTTCGAACTGCTAGGTTGGCAGGAGCAGGGACCGAGCAACGGGAGCTCACCCCGTCGTGGGGATTTGAACCACTGACCTTCTGATCAGCAAGTCCTAGGCTCTGTGGTTTAACCCACAACGCCACCCGCGTCCCTTTAGGGAGGTACTCTTCTCTTTAAATCATAGTAATTATTTCTAAATGTGCCTCTGAACAGAACACTTAAAATATGTGCATTTTGTGCAGATCCACGACATCCTTTTTGGCATTGCAGAAGGGGCCGCTTCTACGTTTGCCCCAGCCAAGGGAAATAGTCATTCTCTCTCACTTTCCCAGTGGCAAAGCACTTATAGCCTGTGGACAGTCTATGGCTCCTTGGGGAAGGATATGTTTTGCATGTGGAAGATGCCAGGTTCAAGATCTGGGATCTTCAAACAGGGCTGGCATTTTCCCCTGCCTGAACGCTGAAGAGCCTCTGCCAGTCAGCTCGACGGATGGGTGTTCTCCCTCTGCAAAAGGCAGCCCCCTCCGTCTGTGCCCTTCGGAGTCTTTTATGCATTGTCGACAAACCGTGTGTGCCAACACGTGTGACATCTGGCAGTGGCAGATGTGTATCTGAAGAAGTGTGCATGCACACGAAAGCTCATACCAAGAACTAACTTAGTTGGTCTTTAAGGTGCTACTGGAAGGAATTTTTTTTGTTTTGATCTGGCAGTGGGTGCAGCTTGGGAGAGGCGATCGTGATGTCAGGACTGCAATCATGTGTAAGTCAGCACTGAAACAATAAATCGCCCAAGGCTAGCAAAGTTAACTCTTTATTGAAGGAAACAAATCATAGCTCAGGCCTAGTGGTCATGGCAATTCTTCCCAGGAGGTCTTGCCCCAGTGAGGCCGCTGTGAAGACTGAAGGTTCCCACCTTCCCGCAGCTCCCCTAGTCATCTTCCTTCCCCAGTGATCTGAGGCTCCATTGCCTTGTCTCTCATTGCTCTGCCCTCTTCATTTCTCTGCATGTTCTGGGAAACCAGGGCAGCTTCTTGCAGCAGGGCAGGGAGATTGCCTGGCTTCATCAGCAGCCTGGCTCATCTCTGTCTCCTGGCCTCCACTCCTCTCCAGCCTCCGCTTCTGCATCCGAGTCTGGACTGTTTTCTGGCACAGACTCTCCCTGCTCACTAAACCCTGTGGCCCCTCCAGCTTCCCACACCTCCTCTTCTCAGTCTGCTCCTCCTTCTCCCTCTGAATACTCCTCCTTGTACCACCCCCACTACCTGCTCCATCACCTGGAGCGGTGAACATCCAGGGGCATGGCTGGCGTGTGTCCCAGGGGGCATGGCACACCGCCCACAGGGGGTGTTACACGCATTGGGGGCTGCACGGCAAGCGACATGAGTCCCGGGGCGTGCGCGGTGAGCATCCTGGGGTGTGCGGCAAGTGCTGAGCATCCCGGGGGGGGCAGCTGCGATGTCAAACACCCCCCCCCCCGATGACACCTGGTGTGGGCTACTCACTCTGCCCCCACCTTCGTCCGCCAGTGGTCCCCTGGTATGGCGATCACACAGGGTCCCCGGACGTTTAACGGTCTATTGATCACTGTGCCATCACTGTGCTCGCTTCCCCGCTGCCACCAACCCGTTACTCTTGGATAAAACACTGAGTCCAGACAGTTGTTAAAATTGAACCAAATAAACAAGTTTATTTTATAAGCATTAACAAGTTTATGGTTTTCAGATAAAATTTCCTGTCAGTTTCTTAACTTTAGTTTCTTTACCGGCCTATATGGGTTTCCTATAAGGACACGGGTGGCGCTGTGGGTTAAACCACAGAGCCTAGGACTTGCCGATCAGAAGGTCGGCGGTTCAAATCCCCATGACGGGGTAAGCTCCCGTTCTTCGGTCCCTGCTCCTGCCAACCTAGCAGTCTGAAAGCACGTCAAAGTGCAAGTAGATAAATAGGTACCGCTCTGGCGGGAAGGTAAACGGCGTTTCCGTGCGCTGCTGTGGTTCACCAGAAGCGGCTTAGTCATGATGGCCACATGACCCAGAAGATGTACGCCGGCTCCCTCGGCCAATAAAGCGAGATGAGCGCCGCAACCCCAGAGTCGGCCACGACTGGACCTAATGGTCAGGGGTCCCTTTACGTTTACCTTACCTTCCTAATACCTTCTGACTGATTATATCAACTGTTTGACTGACTCCTCTTAACAGATTCTCTCACTCTCCCACATCAGACTAGCCCAACCCACAGACTTATCCTCTCTCTGTCTCTAACTCCAGACTAACTTCTCAACCCCCCTAACTCTAACTCAAATTCCTCCCCTTGGGTTAGTCATTTTACAATTAATTAACCCTTTCCTTATGAACCCAGTATGATGTCACACACCTAGGAGGGCAAACGCCACACCTGGCCACAAGAGGCAGCCCACTGACAAGTACGGTACTTCTTGTGTAGAAAGGGCTCTACAGATCCTAACCCATCTGCTTTCCTTTCCCTAGCTACAGGAAGCCCATTGGGACATGCTGCACCGCGGACCCGCCGGGGACTCATCCAGCTCGCCGGGGCGATCTTGTGCACCACACAGCGCTCGCCGTTTGCCTACATGCGCTATGGGTGCTACTGCGGTTTGGGAGGGACCGGCTATCCCAGGGACAAAGCAGACTGGTGAGTATGAGACTCGGCAGGTCAAAATATCTGAAACGTTCTGTTCCGGAAATGCATTATTTCCTCCCCTATCTCTATCGTAACTCTACAGTCATACCTTGGTTGGCGAATGCCTTGCGAGTCGAACGTTTTGGCTCCCGGACGCCACAAACCCGGAAGTGAGTGTTCCTATTTGCGAATGTCCTTTGGAACCCTTTTTCTTCCAGGTTTCACCACTCGCGCATGTGCGCAGAAGCGCTAAAGGTGCTTTGTGCATGCGCAGAAGCCAAATTGCGCCTGCGCAGACGCGGCGCTTCAGGATGCGAACGCTGCGGGTTGCAGTCGTGCCTCCATCATGGATTACATCCGCAACCTGAGGTTCCACTGTACATACAGTATATTAGTGAAAATAACAGACAAAAATGCACAGAGTTTAGGAAAATTGTCTGCAAAAATGTCTACTGCCTGAAAAACTGCATACAAAAAACTGCATAACACAAAAACTGCATACTGGGGGAGGGAATTGTGAGGACTTTGTAAAAGAAAGGTGGTGAAACGAACTTAAAGTTGGAAGAATGAGACACGGAAATTGATGGATTCGGCCACCCCTATTCCAGAGAGAGAAAGCCACTGCCACATCAGAATGTGCAAACTTGGAAACTGCACCAGATTCTCTGGCTAAGGCCAAACCACTTTTCCTGTGTTTGGGGGAAATAACCCACATCCTTGGGCAGTTCGAAAATAAAAACCACCACCCAAAATATAGCCATCTATACGGGATATATTTTATGATCATCTGGCTGCTGCAATGAAATTTTTGAAAAACAAGACCTCCATTGCTTCCCACAATCTTGCAAAATGAGAAGATGTGACTTTAATTGCTATGCTCATGGCACAGCTGGAAGATTTTGGCGCACATGTCTCCAGCTGTTTCCACTTCTCCCAGAACTTCTCCCAGCCCCAAATCCAGACTAAAATGTAGGCTAGCAGGTCAGCTTCCCATTGCTGTTTTTTCAAAAGCATGGAGATGGCAAGCTGGTGCTTTGATCCGCCCCAAAAGAAGGTCCTCCTACACAACTCGTAGGGCCAGGAGTCGAGAGGAAGGTGACCTTTTCATAGACTTGGAAGCTCTCCCTTTGCCTTAGAGCTTTGTGGCAGCGGCTGGCTGGCTCCCAGAGAGCTTATGCGTAACTAGGGGCGGGGAATACATTGGGTTCAGTTTGCATTTAAAGACGAACCTGTCCAGTTTGCATTTTATGGGAACTGAAATGAGGCCGTCCTGCAGAACTCACACTCCTCTGAATGTTGCAATTCAGGAATAATAATAATAATAATAATAATAATAATAATAATCCCCAGCCACTCTGGGTGGCTTCCAACAAAATACAGTGGTACCTCAGGTTAAGTACTTAATTTGTTCCGGAGGTCCGTTCTTAACCTGAAACTGTTCTTAACCTGAAGCACCACTTTAGCTAATGGGGCCTCCTGCTACCGCCACACAATTTCTGTTCTCATCCTGAAGCAAAGTTCTTAACCCGAGGTACTATTTCTGGGTTAGTGGAGTCTGTAACCTGAAGCGTATGTAACCTGAAGCGTCTGTAACCCGAGGTACCACTGTATTAAAATACAGTAATGCATCAAACATTAAAAGCTTCCCTAAAGAGGGCTGCCTTCAAATGTCTTCTGAAAGTCTGGTAGTTGTTGTTCTCTTTGACATCTGGTGGGAGGGTGTTCCACAAGGCAGGTGCCACTACCGAGAAGGCCCTCTGCCTGGTTCCCTGTAACTTGGCTTCTCGCAGTGAGGGAACCGCCAGAAGGCCCTCAGAGATGGACCTCAGTGTCCAAGTAGAACGATGGGGGCGGAGACGCTCCTTCAGATATGACTGTGTTGTGTCTCTTCAGTTGTCGATACACGCAGGCAGGGAATGCCTTGCCTTGCTTTAACTGTGTGTGCATCTACACATGCAAGTCGCCCTGAAAGCCGCTCTGGCAGTAGGGCATTGTGCAAGTGCTCTAAAAACAAAGCCATCATTCTCTCTTCTGGGCCGGCAGGTGCTGCTTCCAACATGACTGCTGCTACGGAGAAGCCGAGAAGGAGGGATGCTCCCCCAAGTTGCAGAAGTACACCTGGGAGTGCGAGAACAACTCGGCCAAGTGTGGTGAGTGGATATTCCCCTGGCGGGGAGGAGCTTTGCTGCCATAACGGCAGCTGCATCCAGCAAACTCCCCTCCTGCCCTCTCTTAAAGGTAAAGGGACCCCTGACCATTAGGTCCAGTCATGGATGACTGGGGTTGCGGCGCTCATCTCGCTTTACTGTCCAAGGGAGCCAGCGTACATGTGGCCAGCATGACTAAGCCGCTTCTGGCGAACCAGAGCAGCACACAGAAACGCCATTTACCTTCCCGCCGGAGTGGTACCTATTTATATACTTGCACTTTGATGTGCTTTTTAACTGCTAGGTTGGCAGGAGCAGGGACCAAGCAACAGGAGCTCACCCCGTCATAGGGATTTGAACCGCCAACCTTCTGATCGGCAAGTCCTAGGCTCTGTGGTTTAACCCACAGTGCCACCCGCATCCCTGCCCTCTCTTAGGGATACACTTTTAAGAGACTCGTTTTGCAGTTTCCATTTCTTCTCAGAACCAAGGGCAAAGCTTGCCCACTTGAAACTGCCAAGCAGGCATGGCTTCAGAACAGCTTGGCCAAGCAGGCATGGCTTCAGAGCTGGGTAGAGTTGGCAGGGCACCCATGCTGCAGCTGGATCGCTGGAGCCCACCCTGGCCTCCTTCAGCTTCTCCAACAGCTGGCCCCACTGGCATGGAGACAGGCAGCACTGCAGCCCCCAATTGCCCCCTTCATTCACCCTGGTGGCCATATCTGCTAGTAGCATCAGCAGCCCTCTTTGCCTAGGACCTGAATGCAATGCTCGGCACCCTGACCCCAGGCCCTGCACCGCAGGGAAAACAACACGGCCCTGATCCGGCTTGGATTCTTTAGCTGCTATTCCTGCATTGCATGGGGTTGGACTAGATGCCCCTTGTGGCCCCTTCTGACGCTACAGTTCTGTGATTCAAAGGCCCAAGAGATATTCTAGCTGTAAGCAAGGAACATAGCTGTCAACCATCCCTTATTTGGCGGGAAACTCCCTTATCCTAGCGCCATGTCCCGCTGCTGTCCCTTATTGATGATGTCCCTTAAACTTCCTGGGTTTCAAAGGAAACAGCTCCTCTCCCTCCCTCCCTGCCGGCCAGGGAGGAGGGAGGCTCCAACTGTGTTGCTTGGCTGCCCAGCCTGCCCCCCTCCGGCCTCCTCTCACCAGCCTCGGCCCCAGGGAGCCCCTCCCCGCCGGGACTGGCTGGAGCCTCAAGCCCTTCCGCCACCATCCTCCTCGCAGCCGCCGAACTGAGCGTCTCTGCCTGGGGCCTCCCCTCTGCCTGTCACTGCCGCTCCCGCTCCTGCTAGGCCATACTGCGGCTGTGCCGCCGAAGGACCCAGATGAGATGGGCAGCCTGGCGCGGCGTATGAATTGCTGAGGAGCCTTGAGAGGAGAGCGAGGGCAACCATAGAGAAAGCAGTTCAGAGAGAGGAGGCGGAGGCAGAGGCAGAGGCAGAGGCAGAGGCAGAGGCGCGGGCAGGTGTTCCAAGGGCTAACCACAGAGGGGGAAAGTGGAGGAAGGACCGCAAGCGTTTCTCCCATAGATTTGTAGTGGTGGAATAGCATAGATGGTCTGATCTGCGGGTTTACTTTGGGCGCTATTCCCGCTCCCTTCCTCCCAACCCACCTGATGGAATTGAGAGCTGCAGATGGAGCATGAGAGAAAAGATACAGAACTACAGCAGCATCTTCGTAGCTTGGACTTCATTTTGCGCGAAAAGCGGTTGCTGCTTGTAGTTATTTAACTGCAGTGTTTCATCAGCTGGTCTTGAGTAGCAACCTCTGGAAATGAAGGCTAAAAACCGGCGCTGCTCTCCCAAATTATCTGGTCCCTTTTAACTTCGTATTTCAGCTGGTTGTCTAAAATCCCTTATTTTGGCTGCTGATCCCTTATTTTCAAATCTGTAAGTTGACAGCTATGGCAAGGAATTTCAGAGAGATGTCCATGTCAGATTAAGCAGGTGTGGGGAATCTTTGGCACTCCAGATGCTGCTGAACGACAACTCGGACGTTGGGGATGTCGTGGGATAGTTCAGTAAATATGCAGGTTTTGTGTGTGACCGCTGTGAAAAAAGGGCAAATTCCATGCTAGGGTTCATTAGGAAAGGAATTTATCACCATGTTGTTATACAAATCTAGGGGGCGACAGCATTTGGAGTACAGTTCTGGTTGCCTTGCCTCAAAAAGGATATGGAAAAGGTTCAGAAAAGGGCAACTGAAATGTTCCAATGGGATGGAGGAAAGATGGCAGCTTAGAGGAAAGGCAAGTAAGAGGCGACAAGATAGAAATTTTTAGGATTACGCATGGCATGGAGAATGTGGAGAGAAACTTTTCTCCCTCTTTTGTAACACTGGAACTTGCGGACATCTATCAAAGATGAATGTTGGAAGATTCAGGATAGATAAAAGAAAGGATTTCTTCACTCACTGCATGGTTAAATTGTGGAACCTGCTCCCACGGGAGGCAGTGATACCCACCAACTTAATGACTTTAAAAGATTAGCCAAATTCATGGAGCAGAGGGCTGTTGATGGCTGCTAGATGGGAACTGGGAATCTAGGCCAGTAGGTTAAGGGAGGCCGCCCTACCCACTTACAGTGGGACTTACTTCTGAGTAACCACACATAGGATGTGCTTCATGCCATTAGTGTTTCTGTCATTCCAAAAGACACTGGCCCTCCCAAGACCCTGGGCATCCAGTTTTATTCAAAATATTTACTATCTAAGTAAGTATTTCATTCCCTCCCTCTCGTTCTACTGAAGGCCAGAAAAACCTGCGCACTCTGGTACCCATTTTGCGATGCCTCGAATGATGGGCTTGATTCCTGGTCTCTCTTTTTCTTTCCACAGAGGATATAGAAGACAAGTGCCAAAAAATGGCTTGCGAATGCGACCGCGAAGCAGCCAAGTGTCTGGCGAGCGCCCCCTACAATTCCCAGTATTTGTTCTGGCCAGATACTTTATGTGGGTCATTCAACCCTCAATGTGAAGATGATTAAGAAAGGGCGTCACTTGGGTCAGGCTTCACGGACATGGGACGTTCCCCTCCTCGAGTCACTTCTCAAAAACAAATCAAAGCGGCTCTAGATTTCACCCAGCTTTGGATGGGTATTGTCTAGACACACACACACCGACTTCCAAATAATTTCAGCCATTCTTCAAACAGGAAATGTTTCCCCAAACAGAAGGGGATAACATGCTCCAACCCAGCTCCTTGGCCCAGGTGACCCAAGGCTGCCTACCTAACCTCGGTACATCTCATTTCAATTCAGTATGTGATATTCTCCTCTGGGTTATAAGTCTGAAGTGTCGTCCAGAAAGGACTCAGCCCCCAGAGTAACCATTTCCTTATCTTGTATACCCCAGGCAAAAGTTTGCTTGACCATGAAACCTCAGACCAGCCTACCTCACGGGGCTGTTGTGAAGGGAAGAAGGGGGAGAGGGAGAAGAAGAAGGGTTTTTGGTAAAAATGTCATACTAATAATAAATATTAGAAAAAAAATCTTCCGTTTTAATTCTTAAAAATGTTCATAGGCAAATCTGAAGATCATATCATTACAAACGCAGAGTCAAGTTTAATTTATAGGGGCACATCATTTAAAATAAAGCTAATCTTGGTTTTGGCATACATTTAACGAGTGGCAACAGGAGGCGTTCGTCTACGTACAGGGAAAAAGCCCACCGTCTCACAATCAATTGGTATTTACGTGCAGAACATCTTTCCCCTTTTTTTCTAAAAGAAAAAGTGGTAGCAGTTGGCAAGTAGATCTAGTAAATCAATACAGCAACAGAAATTACTTCAAATTCACAAACATGACCAGAGCTGTGTGTGTAAGGAAAAGGGGTCCTTGTCAGGATCTGAGCCATTTTTAGAAGGGTCAGGTGTCTCTTAAGGATATACAGCTGCTTAACGTGTAAATGCAGGACTCGTTTTGCACGAAAAAGGAGCCTGACTGCTTCGATTTCTCATCAGGCTTCTTGTGCGGCATGGCCAGATACAAAGGTTGGCGCTTCGATTAGTCCAAAAGCAAACGTTCTGATTATAGGGAAATTAACTGTTCCTTCTCCACGAGGAAAAGCAGAAAAGCACCTCCCTTCACTTGTTGCCGCCGTCACAGCTTTGGAAAGGAAGACTTGCTGCAAAAGTAGGTGTGCCATTAAAAAAAAAAATCACAAGTTTTGTCACTGTGGAAAGAAAATTAAATTGCCTTTTTTTGGCAGCTCCCTGCCACCAGATGGTTCAGGACTGAACAGCACAGTGCCGATCCCAGAACACGCCATCAAAGCACTTGAGTTTCCAAGCGACGGATTTCTTTCACCACAAGATCAATGTTTATAATTGGGTTAAAGTACAAAGCCCAGTAGAACAGGCAGTTGCAAACAAACTGAGGAATAACTGGCCAGAAAATAGCCATGAGGAGTCCCTGGGTGGACACTTTCCAGAAATGGCCCCACATCCGGTGAGGAATTGTCCTAGATGGGGAGGGAAAAGAGCAGATTAGAGCCCTAGATCTCATTTCCGATGAACCTTTGGAACTCTTGCAGAAGCTGCAGTAAAAATATCCTTGCGCAACACACAACAGTTCAGGGAAAGCAAAAGTGTTCAATCATTTACAGGAAAACACCACCATAATAGTTTTAAGGAGAGTTTTAAACAGGCTCAAAAGGGAAACTAAGAGAAAGGAGAGAGGGGAGTACCAAAAACGGGGGGTGGGCCTCCAACATGTACAGGAAATGTGTGGTTCACGACGCTCCTTTTCATTTCAAATGAAGGTTGCTTATCTGGAGCACTCTAAGTCACATGCTTTTCCCTGGAAAAGCTCATAAACGAGACATGTCAAGTTAACCTTGGGGACTTTTGGATATCCAAAAATAAAAGATCCCTGGCACACCATTGCAACTGCTTCCCCCTGAGCAGGAAGAAGCTGAGTCACAGAAGGAGAAATCTCTCTGTTCAGTGCAAGTTCTCTCTTTGATTTCCGCAAAAAGACGGTGATAAAGAGAGAGAGAGAGAGAGAGAGAGAGAGAGAGAGAGAGAGAGAGAGAGAAAGGGATTTTACAAGTACAAAACCAGGGTTGCTAATTCTGGAAGGCAGAAGGGTCCGAGAGGGACTTACTTCAGCTCCCTTCTTGACCACAGCCTCCAGAAGGAGAAGAGCTCCAGCACAGAGAGCAGCATGGCGTTGACGATGATGAAGCGGGACGTCCAGTAATGCACCTCTAACCAGTCCCAAGCAAACTCCGCTATTAGCTGGTAGGGCAGGAAAGAGTATTTCACAAAGAATTCTCGCCACTGCTTCCAAGCAGGCTCCTTCAGATCCTGAAAGAGACAGAAAGCGTTCAGGAAAAGCAGGCTGGGCACCACAATAAAATATCTCTGGGTCAAATGTTGCCATCAGAATTTGGTTCTTGCTACTGGCATGCCCAAAATTTATCGACCGCTTTTCCTTGAAAGCAAATAAAAATATTTCTGCCCATAAGTGGCTTAGGATGTGTGTGTGTGTGTGTGTTCAGTTTTAGCCCAAAGCAAAGCCATTTCAGATGGACAGCAGGCTAAAAAAGCACACCCGTCAACACTGGGGATACCGGCATGACTCTTAAACATGGGTAGGCAAACTAAGGCCCGGGGGCTGGATCCGGCCCAATTGCCTTCTAAATCCGGCCCGCGGACGGTCCAGGAATCAGTGTATTTTTACATGAGTAGAACGGGTCCTTTTATTTAAAATGCATCTCTGGGTGATTTGTGGGTCCTGCCTGGTGTTTTTACATGAGCCAAATGTGTGCTTTTATTTAAAATGCATCTCTGGGTTATTTGGGGGGCATAGGAATTCGTTCATTTCCCCCCCCAAAAAATATAGTCCGGACCCCCACAAGGTCTGAGGGACAGTGGACCAGCCCACGGCTGAAAAAGGTTGCTGATCCCTGCTCTTAAACATGACGATGTTGGTAATCTTGGCAAGAAGCATTTTCTTATCTCAGCATTTAATGCTACAGTGGGGCTTAGGAGTCTGTACAGTGGTACCTCGGGTTACATACGCTTCAGGTTACAGACTCCGCTAACCCAGAAATAGTACCTCGGGTTAAGAACTTTGCTTCAGGATGTGAACAGAAATCGTGCTCCGGCGGCGCGGCAGCAGCAGGAGGCCCCATTAGCTAAAGTGGTGCTTCAGGTTAAGAACAATTTCAGGTTAAGAACAGACCTCCGGAACAAATTAAGTACGTAACCAGAGGTACCACTGTACTAGGATTTCCCAGGAAGATTTCTGGCAGTGCGCTCCCTGGAGCGAGCACATTTTGTCCATATTAGGTATATGCCCCCTTTGGAAAACAGTTACTTTTTTTTGCTAAGGACAAGCGAGTATCTCTAAGGAAGCATAACATGAAGGAAAGGCACCCTGTATCACTGCAAATATCTTTTTTAAAAAGGTAAAGGACCCCTGACAGTTAAGTCCAGTTGCAGACGACTTTGGGGTTGTGGAACTCATCTCGCTTTACAGGCCGAGGGAGCCGGCGTTTGTCCACAGACAGTTTTTCCGGGTCATGTGGCCAGCATAACTAAGCCACTTCTGGCACAACAGAACACTGAGACCAGAGCAGCGCACGGAAAAGCCGTTTACCTTCCTGCCAGAGGTTCCTTCCACACCTATTTATCTACTTGCACTTTTTGGCGTGCTTTCAAACTGCTAGGTGGGCAGGAGGTGGGACCGAGCAACAGGAGCTCACCCCGTCGTGGGGATTCGATCCGCCGACCTTCTGATCAGCAAGCCCAAGAGGCTCAGTGGTTTACACCACAGCGCCACCCGCATCCCTCATATCTTTATGCAGTGGCAATTAATGTATTTGGCGTCTGCCAAACCTGCAGAGGAACACAGAAATCTGCTTCACACTAAGGCCCCGCCTGCACCATACATTCCAAGCAGCATCATGCCACTTTAACAGTCTTGGCTTCTGCCAAAGGATCCTGGGAAGTCTAGTCTGTTAAGGGGGCTGAGAGTTGTAAGAGACACCTGCTCCCTTCATAGAGCTATGGTTCTAAAGAATGATTTAGCAATCAATCCCAATGTGTAGAGATATCCCACATTTTTTACCAGTGATAAACAGTATTTTTAGTTACTTTTTTCTCTTCTCTATACAGTCGTACCTTGGAAGTTGAACAGAATCCGTCTGTTCGACTTCCAAAATGTTCAGGAACCAAAGCACAGCTTCTGATTGGCTGCAGGAAGCTCCTGCAGCCAATCGGTAGCCAGGGAAGCCGCACCAGACGTCCGGCTTCTGAAAATCATTCGAACACTCATTTCTGGGTTTCGATCGTTCGGGAGCCGATTTGTTTGGGAACCAAGGCGTTTGAGATCCAAGGTAATAGTGTTTCGTAAGAATCATGAGTACTCTATTTTATATTTTTCTTATTATTATTATTATTATTGAAATATTTCTTTTTTATTATCTTTTTATAAATGTGTTTGGATTCTAGAGCTCAATGTGTTAAAAACCTTCAAAAAATTGTTAAATAAAATGAAATACAAAAGCCCTTGGCTTGCTGCCCCAATGATGTTTGCCCCCTTTTTCGCTCCTGGGGCCATTTCTCACAGAGCTTTTAGCGAGGGTCGCTGATCTGCAACCTCAAGGCATTCTGTACTGCCGCCCCACAAAACCCCTTCCCACTTTTTGGGTGTTCGGGAGGGGGGCATGTTCCCAAGGCGGACGTCTCCTGCTCTTACTTACTAGCAGCTTTGCAAGAATGTCCTCCAGCTCCTCGTCCTGCATGGGACAGATGGTGTGGAGGAAGGGCAGGAAGACGTCCGTGTAATCGAATAGGTACAAGTAGAGCATGGTGAGCCGAGGGGAGCTCTTCAAGGCGTACAACAGGAACAGCGACTTCCCAGGATGCACCGCCTGGAATGCGAGGAAAGGAAGAGAAACGGGGGAGAGTCAGCCGTTAGCCGGAACACATGAAGACACGAGGAAGAGCAAACGGAAGCAAGGGAGAGGGCAAGGGGTCTTCTGTGAAATGCAGCTTTGTCTCACCAACCTCTTCACCCTCCAGGCGTGTAACATAAGATCCGAGTCATATTAAGTAAGGGTCACATGAACCCTGCCTAACTGAGGGAGAGGCTCTATCTTCTTCTGTTCTGGTGCTTCAGAGATCAGAGGCATCATTGTAGATAGCAGAATGAGAGATCACTGCCCCCACCTGACCCCCCAGGGCAATCCTGCTCCCTCACTGCTCAGCCCTAATTCTAGATCACCACTAATCCAGTTAAAAAGAACAGGTCCCAACACCAACCCTCCATTTTCCACATCCCACCACGGAGAAAACTGTCCATTTATTAATTCAGTCGTACCTTGGAAGTCGAACGGAATCTGTTCTGGAAGTCCGTTGACTTCCAGAACGTTCGGAAACCAAAGCACAGCTTCTGATTGGCTGCAGGAAACTCCTGCAGCCAATCGGAAGCCGCGGAAGCCCCATCAGACATTCGGGTTCCAAAGAACGTTTGCAAACCGGAACAGTCACTTCCGGGTTTGCAGCGTTCAGGAGCCAAAACGTCCGAGTACCAAGGCATTCGAGATCCAAGGTATGACTGTACCCTGTTTCTGTTCCTAAGTAAGTCCTGATCCAAAAGAGGATCTCTGTAGTTATGTCACCACGACTAAGCTTACTCAGGGATAAATTTTCGGGGATAAATTTTCAAAAACCTTTGGAAAACCTAAGAGCCCATTGTCAACTGGTTCATCTCTGCTGGCATACTTGGGGAGGGGAAAAACCCTATAGATGTTGAGACAGGACCTACCCTGGCAAAAGCCATGCTGATTCTACTTCAGCAAGGCTTGTTCCTCTTGCTTGGCAATTCTACCTGTTTAGTGGGTTTCCCCACTACTGACATTAAGCTAACTGGCCTTTCATTCCTCAGATCCCTGTTATAAATTAGTTCCCCGTTATTAATCAGCAGGAGGGGATTTGCTCTGTGGATTTCTCCCTTCAGGCCAGCCCTGCATCAAGCAGCCCAGAGTGTAACTGTGGAAGACATCATTAGAGTAGGCAGTGGGGAGGGAACTTGCCAGCGTTAAATTGCACAGTGGGGAGCACACTGTGGCATTTGCCTTCAGATGCAGGAAATTCCACAGAAATTGGGGAGACTCCCTGCTCCTTCAAGCCAGGCTAAGATACTTTT